GAAAGGCATAGCCTATTGAAAATATATATGTAATTAAGGAAATATCGGTCAAGTTTTCTGAATTATAATAAATTGATTTCTACATACGTTACTAGACAGGTGATGTGTGCACTTACTAGTGTAGTTTTTCATGCCTACTGAAATCTTGTCCCCATCTTGGAGAATAACTTCCTTCTCTTTTCCAACAAGGATTCCATTTACCCATGTACCATTTCTACTTACATCGCGAATAACAGGGAAACGGTTGGCTTTTATATTTACTATAAAATGTAACATACTGATATAGCTAATTCTGCCTTTTGTAATAAATTTTTCTTGTGCACGCACAGTGCAATCTAAAGATCTCCCAAATGTAATTTCTTCATCATATAAATCTAAACAGAAATACGTATAGATATATACCAGAAATAAATAAAAATCTACTGTAATCTGCAGTAAAAGAAGAAGAAAAAATGTATATATTTTAACTCACCAACTTTTTGTAAACCTAATCTATTAGGAATAAGACAGCCCCATGGCACTTCTGCTGTTATACCTTGCGAAATTTTTTCTTCAGCTGAGCTAGTTGGTGTTAAAGTTGCAGGTAATTGTGACATTGTGTAATTTCTTTTAAAAAAGAAGAAAATACTAATAAAAATCTTGGAACACTAAGCGGCAAAATAAATCTAACCTACAAAAATATCAGTCCATCATCTACTACATAGATAGATAAGATTTATCATATCTTCTATGATCTTATTCTCAATGGTCTCACCAGGGTCTCACCTGCCAAATCATCTATGATCATGTAACCTTTAATTTAAAAGAAATATTAATTCACCAGTAGCGGGTCCTAGAAAATACAATGGGATGTTGTACGAGTTTACAATTAAACAAACAATTTCATCTCTTGAGCGTTTATTACATTTATTGTGGACAATGTAACAGAAACAACCGAAAATTCTTTTATTGCAACTAATTTCTGTAATTTCTTTTTATTTACAGTTTCAGAAACGTAATTTTCAAAAAATTTCACGATAAGATGTTTATCATTTTTTATCAATAAAAGCGTTATGTGATTAACAGTAGTTGATTTGTTTGTACGTCTGACGGTACTTTAGAAATAATCGCACATTTTTAAAATTCATACAACCACCCTAGTTGATGTTTCATCCCTCTTTCACTAGCTAATGGTTGTACGCATGTGAAATGGCGAGGGTAAAGTGAGTTTACTGTGATTGAGATAGGAGATTTACAAATAATGTTCTGTTATTAAACCCTTTCAATATAAAAACATTCTTCACAACATGGTAAGCGATTTTTTACATTCTTGTTTAATGTAAGCATGCAATCAATATCGTCTATAACCGTTTCAATAGCAATTAAGGTAATCGGTAATTTTTACTGTCATTGTATTTTTATATGTTTTGTATTATATTAGAAGCATTCAGCTAATCCTTAATAATTATTAATTTAACGTCAGTGGTCATACCAAGAATAAAACAATCTAAAATATATTTCAGTTGTCAACAATTCATTATAATTTAAAATCAGAACTATAGGGCGGTTGTTCTGTTAGCATTTGCGAAATAACAAGTACATTTTTTGTGGTATTTTCTAGTATTTGGTGGATTCAGTATGAATTTCTCTCCATTCGGTGGTCATTTTCCAATACATCAATTCGCGGCCAAATTCAACCATGATAGCGTTTCACTGTGTTCCCAAGACAGTTCAGGTACCCAGAGGTACACTGCCAATGGTATCCCGTCTTTCACCCAACACCATCCTCCCCAAAACCACCAGAATCTACTCAACTCATCTAAATTCCCAGGAAGCAACTATGACAGGCAAAACTCGTCTTATTCAAATCATTCCAATGTCAGACCAGAAAAAAGACAAATGTTCGATCAGCAGGAACTCGCCCAGGAACTGTGTGCTGCTATGTTACAACAGTCACAATCCATTGCATCTCAACAACAAGAAAAAGATCAGGCAAATTCAGAAAAGGTATGTGCACCAACCATACTATCCCCTTTTGCCAAAATTCCAAAATTTTGTTTATGTAGGTAAAGCAAGACAATCAACAAGATCTCCTTCGGACGTCTCATTCGCACCATCAGCAACAACAACAAGCTCGCCAATCCCAGATTCTTCAACAACAATCGCAATCTTTACATCAGCAACAACAGCCCCAGCAACCGTCTATGTCCCCATGGCAACCACTGGTTTCCACAGGTTCATCTGTTGCCGATTACTTGTCCCATTTGCCTGCCACAGCTACATTACCCATCAGCCTCCATCATTTTCTCAAATATTCTGCGGAAACAATGAAGAAAGACTGCCTTCAACAGCCTAACAGTCAAAATCCTGACGCCACAGCTCTACTGAGTCAAGTGAACAATTGTATTTCATCTACCTCGTCGAATTCTGCCAATAATAGCAATAGAAGTGGCCTAGGGACGTTTACAAATAACGTCAACGCCTTACCAACGATAAACTCCTCCCAATTGACGACCACCGTCACTCCACCCAAAAAGAAAAAGAAAAGAAAACCGGAAAAGGAGAAACGTACACGCCCCAAACCGGGTGAGATACGGCTAACGACCGCCCTCGACGGTTCCACTTTGTTCTGTTGCCCTGAATGTCACATGGCTTATCCGGAAAAGGAGTTGCTCGAACAACATCTTGTCGGCCACACCCTCGAAAGGCGGTTCGTTTGTGATATATGTGGGGCTGGGCTGAAACGCAAAGACCACCTTACAAGACACAAACAGTCGCACAACCCAGAACGTCCGTATGTTTGTACGGTCTGTTTGAAGGCGTTCAAGAGGAAGGAGCAATTAACGTTGCACTTTGTTATCCATTCAGGTGAGAAAAGACATGTGTGTACCGAGTGTGGTAAAGGGTTTTATAGGAAAGATCATTTGAGAAAGCACACGCGTTCACATATCGCGAGGAGGGTTAAGGCGGAACTTTCGCAGCAAGGTATTGGCAATGTTGCTACAACCGGAAGTCTAGCATTGCATTCTAATGCGGTCACTTCCGGTATTTCCGCATCGCACAGTATTATAGCGTGAAAGTATTTTTATTGTGGCGGACTACGGTAACAATATGATCCTTACTTTTTTTTATTGCGACGACGCTGAACTAGTGCAAAAGAATCATTCGTTTGTTAGGTATTTTTTGTTTTTACGTGAAACTAACAGAAGCTGAGAGGCGGGAAGAATAGTTTTTGAGTTTTTGTAAAATTTGAAGCAATATACATATATATAGTTGTAAAAAGGTCACTATTACGTATTACAGTTGAAAACAAAGCAATAAAACATTAAAAATGAAACGTATGGTTCGGATGGTCCATGTTTTTAGTTTAACTTACTCAAGTTTTTTGAGAACTACGTTTATAAAAAAAAAAAACAAACAAACAACAGTTTACTTGCGAGTTTATTTTGTTTTGTTTTGTTTTTTTTTTTTTGGGAAAGTGACCAGTGATATATGTAGTTTTTATGAAGAATACGATTTTATCAACATATTAAAATTATATTATGTTATGTTATAAATAGTCAGAATCAGAAATTAAGTTTTTTTTAATTGTTTACCTATTTTATTAGTATTATTATTATTATTATTGATATCCTTATTTTATTTAGTGTTGTTATTATTATAATGACGATAAATTATGTTTGTTTATTCTGAATGTTACCTCTGTCTAGTCACCAATTTGTTTATTTATTTATTTTAAATTGATGCATACGTTTACAATCTTGTAATATCCTTGTAAGTAAACAGTATACATACATAGTATATACATATATTAATAAAATCAGTACAAACAAGTAATTAATATTAGAATACGTTTATATTTGTACAATATGATGGTGATGGTGAGCTCATTGAAGAATTTTCATTTATATTTTTCGAATGGAGATAGGAAAAATGAAAGGAAAAGGAATATTTTTCTGATTGTAAGATTAAGTACCTATACACAGTTATTATTCTTGCTTTTTGGTATCCTCCTTATATTATTCGTATGCTTACATATAGAGCTTCCTATATATGATTAAGAATTTGCTTGTGTATTGTGATATAATTTTTGAAATAAAGAATTTCAAAATTTTAATATTTGTACGTTTAACGTGCGGCACTGTTCACTGCCCCACCCATGCGTTCTTGTCACGCCTACTACCACTCGGTCTGTTACATTTTATTTACACTACTACGTTAGTTTTGTTCTGCGGTACTGTTTGCTGCGCCACCCATATGTTCTTACCACGCCTACAATTTCACCACCTTTTTTACAATATTGGTTCTATTGTCAAAACGTTTTAGTTTTAATTATATGTACATTTAACTGTTTATCTACATTTAACGTACGACACTGTTTGCTGCCCCACCCATATACTTTTGTCACGCTCAAAATGCCCCGCCTATTATCATTTGTTTACGTAACTGCGTTATTATATTTTGTTCTACATCTAACGTGCGGCGCTATTGTTGCACCGCCCATACGCTCTTTCCACGCCTACTTCTTTTCCGCCTCTTATCCTATGTTTATAACAATATTACGCCACCTATTATTGATAGATATGACTTTTTTGTAGTAATTATACATTTACTAATTATTGTTTTAGGTGTATAAACAATTGATTTTGTTAAATTGTTTTCCTTTGTTTTGAATTTAGTTGGTGCATTTATTTCGGTGCATACTGTACATCCGAGGTCATTAAAATGCTACATATGAAACAGTGCGCATGTTCAGTGTTCGCTCACGGACTTACAGTTCGCGGGTTCTTTACTTCAACTTTACATAGCTTAACATGCATTTAGTGATTATTTTGTTACATCGCTGCTAGAATGCTTGACGGTTAAAACAAAAGTAGTATTGGTTAACAAACCAGTTAGCTACATACAAAAACGTGTCTAACAATAAGTTATAATCCGAGTTTGCGTGAATTTTTAACGTGAAGAGGGCCGTGGTTCAGGTTATGTGTCTTACTGGTTTCGGTTTTTGTGGAAAAGTGTAAATATTTTTGTTCGACAAAATGACCATTCAAAAGGAAATTGGCGTCGGAGACTTCGTTCTCTTGGACAAAATTGACTTGGACAGTTTTATGAAAAACTTGGAATTAAGGTTAGTTGGACTTTATTTTTAAATTGATGTTGTGGCCCTTATAAGGGGCGTGACAGACGTTACTTTTTTTAAGATATAATAACCCCCGGGAGGTAAAGTCATGTTTCACGAAATTATAGATACATTTTCTATAAATATAGTCTGTTGCTTCTGTTAGTAATTTGATTCAAATTTTACTTTCTTTTTTTGGCTTATTCAGGCACATGCCAATTTACAAATATACATTTATCGTGGGAGTCTCTTAAGTTCTTGAAGTTTACTTTGAAACAATTATAATTGTACTTGTGTGCGTCGTATTTACAAGAGGGTATATTGTCAATTTAAATCAAATCATATTTTCTGGTCAGAGTCAGGGTTCAATACATATTTAACCGGCTAAATTCCAATAGTTATTTTTTAAAAAAAAATTGAAATCATTAAAGATGATTCANATTTTACTATTTTATTTTATTTATTCAATAATATAATTTTTATTTTCAGATTTAAACATGGTAAAATCTATACGTATATCGGCGAAGTATGCGTTTCTGTCAATCCTTATAGAACAATGAACATATACGATAGCAATTATGTTAACCAATACAAAGGTATGCGACATTTTTGTTTAATTATTTAGTCACTTATGTATATTTTTTTTTAAAACATTTCTCTTTTATTTCGTTAATTTTTCGTATTTTTTTATTTTTTTTATAGATATCATCTGTTATTTTTTATTTACGATTTAAATATTTTTTGTTTCTAACATTTTTTTAAAATTTTGTATTTTTTATTGTATTTTGTAATTTTAATATTTTTTCAAACACATTTACTAAGTTTATTGTTTGTCAAGGACGAGAGTTATTTGAAAATCCTCCCCACATATTTGCTATCGCTGATGCTGCTCATAAAGTGATGAAAAAACAGGGTCGGGATACGTGTATTGTAATTAGCGGTGAATCCGGCTCTGGAAAAACGGAAGCATCCAAAATAATAATGAAATACATTGCAGCTGTTACAAATATCGGTAAGTGCGTTTTTTTTATTATTATTTTTTCTCGTAATAGTTGGGGTGTACAAAAAAATGCTTAATAATATCGTAGAAGTACATATTATTATTGCTTCAATTTTTTTTCACTTTTAAAATGGCAGTAGTTAGATTTTTTTTAGTATTCGTAGATTAGACCGTAAAAAATGATTTTGAGTCAATTTGAATTGATTGGAAAATCCCTTTTTACTATTTGTTAGTCTGCAGTGTGTATCATCTGCTTAATTTTACAGTAATTACATTTTTATAGAATCATTTTATCATGTATTTATTTATGTATATCATTTTAATTTTCCCGCGAGTTTCATCGTTGCCATATTGTATTGTCAAACTTCAGAACACCTAACCTAAAATATTCTAAAAATTAAATAAAATAGGTACACAAAATTACTAAAAACTATTAAAGTCATCACTAATAGGTAGTAGCACTTTGGGCCAATGTTTTTTATAAGATTTATACTATATTTTGCTTCATTTTAAGCATTTTTCAAATTATTTTATTTAGGGTTAGGTATTTTGAAATTTGACAGTTGTGCATTGTTGCATTTTTAGCGGCATGTTTAAATTTTTTAGTTTGAATGACTATAAAATTAAAAAATTAGTGTGTAGAAAAAAATTGATTCTTTTCGCATTTTAATACAGGGTGTTAAGAGAAATTATTCAAGTGTTTGAAAAATGTTTTACAGGTGTCAGCCCTGATAAATATAGTGGTGAGTTTTACGTGAATGATTTTACCACCTTACTAATAAGTAAATGTTAATTACTAAAAACTAAGAAATCCATGTTTTTGCATGTTTGTGAAATTATTGTGATTTAATGTTTTTTTTATTTACTTTTTTATTGGTGGTGAGATTTTTTTCTAACATAGGTACACTTTTTTGTGGTTTTGTAATCAGGCAAACAAGGAAATTGAAAATTCATGCCCATTTTCATCGAATCAGTTTGATTAATTAAAGTAAATAAAAAAAAACTTTTCCACCACTGATTTCTTACGATAAATACTCAAGAAAGCTTCCTTATACTCATACAATATTATAAAGTATTATTAGGGATATAGATTGTTTACAGTGTTCTTAATATACCCTAATGGCGAGTTGATAACCGAACATAATGATACTCTATTTGGTACTACATGCAGTAATGGAGGCATCATCGTATGAAAATAATACGACGTGGTATAGGGAAATATCTTCAGCCATTTTTTATATAAAAAATAAAGTAATGTAAATCCAATAAATGCAATTTAAAGGCGTGTCTGAAAAAGCAACAAAATATGCTTCTAGGAACGATTTGCCTTACCTCTATGAACCAGGTATTTGTACTAATTTTCGTATACCACGTCGTGTTAGAATATCCCTATGTCCGGTTATCAACTCGCCACTAGTGTATATGTAAGAGCACTACCCAACGATTAAACAATGGAAATATTTTTGCGACTTTTGTTATTATTTATTCCTGAAGGTTGTGTTATAGGTACTTTATAAGCAAGGTATTGATTTCCAGATAAAGTAATGGGCGTCTAAATATTGTCTACTTTTTTCAATTGAATTTAAACGGGTTTAGCAGGTGTTAACTTTTGTCTAATTGTTCATAACATTAACCAAAGGCGGAAATACGATGCAATTGTTTCTTGTAATGTTATATTGTCTAACAAAACAAAAGACTGGCGATAGCATTTCAATGTCGAGATTTATTTTTTCAATTAAAGAATGTCTTTTCTGATAAAGGTCGTTTTTTTATTACGATAAAAGCCTGTGATAGATTTTGTATAGTAAGGTCGATGTTCTGTCTGGTATTTAGGCTTATTTCTAATACGTACGGAAAAAAAAATTGTTATATTTGTTACGTTTAAGTTTGTAAAATTGACAATCAATAAATAATTGTTATATACAGGTATGGCAGAACGTTCACCGAACATAGAAACCACACATTTGTTGTTGTAGTTTCAGTAGTTGTGGAAAAGAACAAGACCTTTCGAATAATACCCCATATAATACACGAACATTTTTTTTCCAATTTTACTATTTTATTTTATTTATTCAATGATATAATTCTTATTTTCAGATTTAAACATGGTAAAATCTATACGTATATCGGCGAAGTATGCGTTTCTGTCAATCCTTATAGAACAATGAACATATACGATAGCAATTATGTTAACCAATACAAAGGTATGCGACATTTTTGTTTAATTATTTAGTCACTTATGTATATTTTTTTTTAAAACATTTCTCTTTTATTTCGTTAATTTTTCGTATTTTTTTATTTTTTTTATAGATATCATCGTCACAATCCATTGCATCTCAACAACAAGAAAAAGATCAGGCAAATTCAGAAAAGGTATGTGCACCAACCATACTATCCCCTTTTGCCAAAATTCCAAAATTTTGTTTATGTAGGTAAAGCAAGACAATCAACAAGATCTCCTTCGGACGTCTCATTCGCACCATCAGCAACAACAACAAGCTCGCCAATCCCAGATTCTTCAACAACAATCGCAATCTTTACATCAGCAACAACAGCCCCAGCAACCGTCTATGTCCCCATGGCAACCACTGGTTTCCACAGGTTCATCTGTTGCCGATTACTTGTCCCATTTGCCTGCCACAGCTACATTACCCATCAGCCTCCATCATTTTCTCAAATATTCTGCGGAAACAATGAAGAAAGACTGCCTTCAACAGCCTAACAGTCAAAATCCTGACGCCACAGNTTGTGGAAAAGAACAAGACCTTTCGAATAATACCCCATATAATACACGAACATTTTTTTTCCAATTTTACTATTTTATTTTATTTATTCAATAATATAATTTTTATTTTCAGATTTAAACATGGTAAAATCTATACGTATATCGGCGAAGTATGCGTTTCTGTCAATCCTTATAGAACAATGAACATATACGATAGCAATTATGTTAACCAATACAAAGGTATGCGACATTTTTGTTTAATTATTTAGTCACTTATGTATATTTTTTTTTAAAACATTTCTCTTTTATTTCGTTAATTTTTCGTATTTTTTTATTTTTTTTATAGATATCATCTGTTATTTTTTATTTACGATTTAAATATTTTTTGTTTCTAACATTTTTTTAAAATTTTGTATTTTTTATTGTATTTTGTAATTTTAATATTTTTTCAAACACATTTACTAAGTTTATTGTTTGTCAAGGACGAGAGTTATTTGAAAATCCTCCCCACATATTTGCTATCGCTGATGCTGCTCATAAAGTGATGAAAAAACAGGGTCGGGATACGTGTATTGTAATTAGCGGTGAATCCGGCTCTGGAAAAACGGAAGCATCCAAAATAATAATGAAATACATTGCAGCTGTTACAAATATCGGTAAGTGCGTTTTTTTTATTATTATTTTTTCTCGTAATAGTTGGGGTGTACAAAAAAATGCTTAATAATATCGTAGAAGTACATATTATTATTGCTTCAATTTTTTTTCACTTTTAAAATGGCAGTAGTTAGATTTTTTTTAGTATTCGTAGATTAGACCGTAAAAAATGATTTTGAGTCAATTTGAATTGATTGGAAAATCCCTTTTTACTATTTGTTAGTCTGCAGTGTGTATCATCTGCTTAATTTTACAGTAATTACATTTTTATAGAATCATTTTATCATGTATTTATTTATGTATATCATTTTAATTTTCCCGCGAGTTTCATCGTTGCCATATTGTATTGTCAAACTTCAGAACACCTAACCTAAAATATTCTAAAAATTAAATAAAATAGGTACACAAAATTACTAAAAACTATTAAAGTCATCACTAATAGGTAGTAGCACTTTGGGCCAATGTTTTTTATAAGATTTATACTATATTTTGCTTCATTTTAAGCATTTTTCAAATTATTTTATTTAGGGTTAGGTATTTTGAAATTTGACAGTTGTGCATTGTTGCATTTTTAGCGGCATGTTTAAATTTTTTAGTTTGAATGACTATAAAATTAAAAAATTAGTGTGTAGAAAAAAATTGATTCTTTTCGCATTTTAATACAGGGTGTTAAGAGAAATTATTCAAGTGTTTGAAAAATGTTTTACAGGTGTCAGCCCTGATAAATATAGTGGTGAGTTTTACGTGAATGATTTTACCACCTTACTAATAAGTAAATGTTAATTACTAAAAACTAAGAAATCCATGTTTTTGCATGTTTGTGAAATTATTGTGATTTAATGTTTTTTTTATTTACTTTTTTATTGGTGGTGAGATTTTTTTCTAACATAGGTACACTTTTTTGTGGTTTTCGTTGTGGTCATTTTTTTTATTTTAATTGCTACTAGTCCTTTCACTGTAAGAAAAAGCATCCAATGAAGAATAATTATTTTCGTTAAGTTAATAAAAAAAAAGACAAAAGAAAGTACGTCATTAGATACATTGCAATTGAAATTGTAAGTTGAACATCTTAGAAACCAGCACCTATCACCTACTTCTCTTGCATAAATTTATTGGTCACCATAGTTAGTGATCGTGACTGACATTGAAACGACGAATTAATACGTTTAAATAAACTTTTGATTACATCAAGTTTCTGTATATGGGATATTTACTATATCACTTTTATCTTTTGCCTTGTAGTTCTGATTACAAACACTTCGTATGATATAATACCTGCTGTATTTTATAAAAATTCCATATAAATAATAAAAAATGTTAACGGTTTCGAAAATGGTAACTAACGTGTTGCTTTCTCGATTTGGGCAGTTTTTTTTCCGAGCATTGCCTTCCAGAATATTGATTAGAAAATTTGTACCTATTTTTATGGTACGAAGTTCGAATTTAAATTAAAATTAAATAAATTTTGGTTACGAAATTTTAAAACAGTAAGGAATAAAAAACAAGTATTTGGCAATGTTCCAAATCTGGGTTTGGAAAGGGTATTTTATATTTACTTTGTAGAAAAAAAAATCACTTCAAAAATTGCAGTTATGAAACTGTACATTTATTTGCTGTTTATTATTATTGTTGGGGCGCAATTCATGATGCGCCTTTTGAACAACGAAAAACATTTGTGTATTTCGCAGTGTTAAGTTTATAATAACGTGCCTGCAACAAAGGAATGTTATCGTTATTGTATTTAGGTTTTTCCTCGGCAGGTAACGTCCCTTCGCGTTAGTCACCAGATGGGTCGATGGTCTTTCCATCCACAACAATATTCTGATTTTAGTCACGTAGTCACTAACCGTAGCCTAAGGTCAAAAACACCCCACTAACGTACCTCCACCCCCTATATTTTCTTGTCATATTTAAGCATTTTATCTATCTAAAAGTTCATTAAGTTTTCATGTTTTCAACCATTTAGTTTTCTCTGCCAAGTTCAATCAATTATCTATTCAGTTCATCAGTAGTTCATTCATTGTAGTTATTTTTAAGTGTTTTTTTTTGGTGTTAGTTTAAGTGTATGTTGATTATTAAAAAGTTAAAAATCACATAAGTCGTTTACTGCTCGTACTGCTCCAAGAAGAATACCACCGATAGAAAATATTCGGCCGTTATATCTAAAAAATAGACTTCGATAAATTAATTTTTATCGAAGAGGGTTTAAGTGTTCCTTAGGAAAATCTAGGCCAGCAACACACCCGCAACATTCAACAATTATTATTTTACGTATTTTTGAGTTGTTAATTTCTAAAAATGGGAAAGTGATACATAAGTATGATCAAACATTGTATGAGACAATTTTTACCAGCAAATACATATATGTATAATATCTTATCTTTTTATATGTGTATTTCGAAACGTCTACAGTACACATTAAGGCTTATCAGAAAAATTGATTTTCTGTTTATGTATTTATCTTTGATTTGAAGTATTAACTAATATTTTTTTGGTATTTTATTTACTTATTATGAAAATAATAAAAGTAATTTGCAATAAGTAAATATTCCGATGAAAAATAATACTGTTCGCTCTTTGTGGGGTAATTCCCGGGCAGATTACACGGCCAACCAATTTACGGACTTGTAAGGTTTCATTTGGTTTCCAAAATCAATTTCTTAACAAATTAATAAATGAAGTGGAAAAGAAATGAAATAGAGCGTGACTATCTATTAAGAAAAAAAATACCTTTTACAACGAGAAAACACTTTTTTTAATTTATATTTTTTGTAAGGGTGGGGAGGGTAATGAAGGATATTATTCGAAGGATACTCTGCTACAAATATACACAAAATAAAAATAATTTGTGTATGTTGTCATTAACACATGTGAAATTTAATTTATAGTTAAGGGTAATTATTGATTGTTAATTTGTAGGTGGTCAGAAAGAAATTGAAAGGGTAAAAAACGTTTTAATACAATCAAATTCAATATTGGAAGCTTTTGGAAATGCAAAAACCAACCGTAATGACAATTCGTCAAGATTTGGAAAATATATGGATATTCACTTCGATTTCAAGGGCGATCCCATTGGGGGACACATAAACAAGTATTTATTGGAGAAATCTCGGGTTATTTATCAGCAGGGTGGAGAAAGGAATTTTCATTGTTTTTATCAGGTAATTTTCTCTACTTAATATATTATACTATTCGACCATTATACGTATATCAATTTAATGCTCACTTATTATTTATAATAACAATATTTTTTAAATGTTTTTGGAATTTTCTTACAGCTATTGTTGGGTGCTCCAGATAGCCTTCTTCAAAACTTAAACTTGACTCGCAACACGGACCATTACTTTTATATAAAACAAGGTCAAGCTGCCAAAGTGGACTCCATAAATGATAAAAACGATTTCAGAGAGGTCACCTCGTCTCTGCACACCCTCGAGTTCACGAAATCGGACGAGGAAACCCTTTGGAACGTTGTCGGTGCAATACTTCATCTCGGAAACTTGGAATTTATCACGGAGGAAGATCAGTTGAGAGTGAAGGATCATAAAATGGTACAAAACGTTGCAGTTTTATTAAAGGTATGTATGACTTTAAGAGGAAAATTATTTTAATACATATAATGTATTTTTTAAGTTTTGACTAATTCATGCAACATGCATGCAAGGGATGTATGTTGGGTTGCGTTTTAATAAGTAAATTTTTAGGTACCTGAAGACGAATTACAGAATGCCCTTTGTGAGCGTGTTATTGCTGCACATGGAGACATCATGAGAAAAGAGCATACTCAGAGTGAAGCTACTTATGGTAGAGATGCTCTAGCCAAAGCCATTTACGACAGATTGTTCACTTGGATCGTTACCAGGATCAATTCGGCCATAGCAGTCGATGAAGCAAGCCGGAAACAGTTCCAAAGTTCCTTGATCGGAGTGTTGGACATTTATGGCTTCGAAATTTTTGACAATAACAGTTTTGAACAATTCTGCATTAATTATTGCAACGAAAAATTACAACAACTGTTTATAGGTATGTGCGAAATATAAGAATGAACTTTAATCTTTTTGTTCAGTACCAAAAAAAGGTACCTTGATCATTTTGAACTGTACATGATACTAAATTTGGTGTGATGTTGTAAATTGTGCAATATAATTGCCAGAATTATAAAAATATTCTCTTTAATGAAACTTATAAGGTCTATAACTTGGATTGAAATCTTTGGCTCTTTTAGAATTGGTATTGAAACAAGAACAAGAGGAATACCAGAAAGAAGGCATAGAGTGGACCCATATCGACTACTTTAATAACCAAATCATCTGTGAACTTGTGGATGCCCCGCACAAAGGTTAGAAAAGTATTTAAAAGTTATGTGTATAGATATATAATCTTTACCATTTCAGGTATTCTCGCAATAATGGACGAAGCATGTTTAAATGTTGGTAAAGTAACTGACGAAATGCTGTTAGAAGCCATGGATAAGAAACTTAAGGATCATAAACATTATTCGTCGAGGCAAACAAAGCCTGCAGAGAAAACATTAAAACACAAGGTAGAAACTCCCTTCCTACAAACGTTTATCAACTGTGTACGTATATGTATATTAATTAATTAATTGTTTATCAGGTTCACTTTAAAATAACACATTATGCTGGCGATGTTACTTATTCCATAAACGGATTTTTGGACAAGAACAAGGATCCTCTCTTCCAAGACTTCAAACGTTTGTTGTACCATTCTAAAGATCCCAATTTGAAGAGCATGTGGCCCGAAGGGGCCCAGCATATCTCCGAGGTAAATAATCCCTGTACTAAATACATAAATACATTTTGTATATTTATTTTATTATTATTAATATATATTCAGACTACCAAAAGGCCTCAGACTGCAGGAACTCTCTTCAAAAACTCCATGGCAGCATTGGTACAAAATTTGATGAACAAAGAGCCCCATTATGTGCGTTGTATCAAACCCAATGAACTCAAATCGCCGACTCATTTCAACGAAGAAAGGGTGCGACATCAGGTGTGCTATTTGGGGTTGGTGGAAAATGTACGAGTTAGACGAGCTGGTTTCGTCTACAGACAAAGATACGACATATTTCTTAAAAGGTAAATTTTTTAACCAGGTCTGCGGTAATGGTAATTATTATGATTATGTTTACTAATGCAATTATAAATGCTGCTGCTAGGTATAAGATGATCTCGCAATTTACATGGCCTAATTTCCGTTCGGGAACGGACAAGGATGGCGTCAAAGTGATAATGGACGAACATAAATTTAGCAACGACGTAAAATATGGTCACACGAAGATATTCATAAGGTCACCGAAGACGTTATTCGCCCTGGAAGCAGCTAGGAACGAACTAATTCCAGGAATAGTTACTTTAATCCAGAAAGTTTGGAGAGGTATATATATTATATTTTCCTTAACTATACCTATACCTCATAGATTACCACCATCCTACCTTCCATTTCCTTTAGTGACTTCAATAGCACCTTCCGTTCTCTTAGTTTCTCCAATATTATTTTATTTTTAGTCGCAAACTTACAATATGTGTAATGGATACAATTTTTTCCCGGTAGGATATAAAGCCCGACAGCTATACAAAAAAATGAAGGCCCTTTTGGTAATGGTGGAGGCATATCGTAGGAAAAAGATGCGCGTGTATATCGAAACGCTTCAGCATAGGTTTGCAGGGGCAAGAAGTATGAAAGATTATGGCAAACATATTCAGTGGCCGTCAGCCCCTGCGGCTTTAAGGCCGGTCGTTGGGATCCTTCGAGGCGCCTTCCAAAGATGGAGAGCGTACATGATCCTTAAAGACATACCGAAAAGGGACTGGCCTCAGATGAAATTAAAAATTTGTGCAGCGTCAGTACTTAAAGGTAAACGATTATATTGGGGCCAAACCAGGACGTGGTCAGGCAACTACCTCGGATCCCACGATGAGAACTCATCGTATTCTGTCTTCAACGACTGTGTTAACAATCTACGGAAGACAACCGACTTCCAAGAGGTTCTTTTCTCATCTTTCGTGACCAAGTTCAACAAATTTAATAAATGTGCCGAAAGAGTTTTGCTAGTCACAAATCGATACATATTTAAATTGGATTGTGCCAAGTTTAAGAATATGAAAGAGGGAATACCGTTCACTGACCTCACCGGTCTCAGCGTCACTCCGGGTCAGGATCAGCTGATTGTAATGCACTGTCGTGGAGGCAACGATTTTGTAGTGTCCCTCTATTCGAATTTGAAAGAGGACAAGATTGGAGAGCTCGTGGGACTTCTATGTAACCAATTTGCAAAGTAATTACATAATAAAATATTTTAATCTTTTATGGAATTAATTTTTATTTTAATTAACAGGTTACAGCAATCGGAGCTTCCTGTGACTGTAAGCAAGTCTTTGACATGTTCCTTGGGTGGCAAGAGAAGGCAAATTAATATCCAAGTCAAAGGAGATGTGCAGAGACCAACGTTTCAAAAAGACGGTCAAAATATCGCTTACCTTTTGCCTTCGAACTATGCCCTCCTTGAAAATAACGGTAACACTAATCTTATTAATTAATTAAAGGAATGATAGCGAGAAACTGTTACAAAATTTTAACTTAAAGTAAGGAAATTTTTGGACGATTACTATCTTTACATTACTACATGTACTAGCTTTTTCTTATGTATAGTAAGGTTGAAAAATATTCTTCAGGATGCAAAGTATTTACATAATAATTATGATAAAGACAATGGAATTTACAGGAACAAGGTTGTGCCTTAAGGATGTAATTTTGCACTTAAAACAATCACTTAATATAATTATTTGCCTGCCAGTTATATGTGAACTTGTGGATGCCCCGCACAAAGGTTAGAAAAGTATTTAAAAGTTATGTGTATAGATATATAATCTTTACCATTTCAGGTATTCTCGCAATAATGGACGAAGCATGTTTAAATGTTGGTAAAGTAACTGACGAAATGCTGTTAGAAGCCATGGATAAGAAACTTAAGGATCATAAACATTATTCGTCGAGGCAAACAAAGCCTGCAGAGAAAACATTAAAACACAAGGTAGAAACTCCCTTCCTACAAACGTTTATCAACTGTGTACGTATATGTATATTAATTAATTAATTGTTTATCAGGTTCACTTTAAAATAACACATTATGCTGGCGATGTTACTTATTCCATAAACGGATTTTTGGACAAGAACAAGGATCCTCTCTTCCAAGACTTCAAACGTTTGTTGTACCATTCTAAAGATCCCAATTTGAAGAGCATGTGGCCCGAAGGGGCCCAGCATATCTCCGAGGTAAATAATCCCTGTACTAAATACATAAATACATTTTGTATATTTATTTTATTATTGCAGTTATGAAA